CATATATATATATCTACTGAATCAAAACAAAACCGTGCGAAAACATCTGTGTGTGTGTGAGCAAGACAAACACATATAGAGAGTGAGAGCGAAAGAAAAAGAGAACACCAGATCGAAACGTTGAGAATTTGAGACGTCTGTTGAGGGGAGAGAAGAGATTCTTCATACACTTCCTTATCTAATTCGTGAGATTGCATTGCGCACCCCAAGCAGGGGAAACATAATATCTTATATGACTTTTGAAAGATTAAGTGGTAAGTACCTCTCAATTGTAAACCCCAGAACACGAGATGTGTCTATATATGTATATATATATGTATCTGTATCTGTATAACCATAGCTATTATCCCAAAAATGCCCATTTTTATTTTTCCACAATACATAATTGGATATTAAGTATACGGGGAAAGCTTAATAGATTCAATAGAAGCTAGCGCATTGGAGTCAAATAAACTTTCCACTGCGGCTAGAAACGTTTTCGACCTTGATCCAAACACCTACAAGACGATCTAGTATATATACTCATTTATTTTGCAATAAATATGAGGATATTCCCCCATACATTTGTAGCTTGACAGATATACAGTAAAAGCCTAATAGAGTGATCTTCGCAAATCTAGCTATGGCTTTTTACAGAGCCTCTATTGTAACTGATAAAATAATATAATAAAATAATATGATATACGATGAAGACTACCTAAGGCGAACAGGCAATATCAGATCTACCGTTGAGGCTAGAAAATAGGTACTAAGGTATATTTGATTACTCTATATACGTAAAATTTTCTCTCTATATACCACACCATAAATATATTTTGGTATTTATATAACGCAAAATTTATATATGGAACATACGAATATATATGGTCCCATTTTTAGAGAAACCACAAATAAAAATAGTTTATAGCAAATTAAATTTGATTCCTTCAATATTTTATGAAATTCTTAATATATACCTGTAGGCACACACAATCTGCTTAATTCAAAGCAACTGTAATATTTCGATTACAAATTTCCTATTTAATTGGCAATTTGTGGTACATTTTCCAGCAAAAATGAGAAAGAAAGAAAAATAGCATTCCAGCGTTTTCTTTCGTTACGCCTACGCAATTCAAGATCATGAGCGAAATGAACATCATTATCTAGCAACGTGTACTTTTTTTCTTATATACATACGTATGCATGTATATACACATGCATATAGGCATATCTGTTGAATGGTTGTGTGTGTGCTCTGTTAAGCTTAATGTGCGCATGCCGTAACCGATCAACTAATACACACACTTACATTTACACATATGCAGACTTACCTATCTATACACATACACACTTACACTCATTCATCTACTTGCTGGGCATATACATATATTTACATATTTTATTTTTGCTGCTGCTCTGTTATTTAACAGCGCACTGTTAGTCATCTGTTTAGAGTGGAACTAACCGCAATTGTTATAATCTTAATAGCAACCAAAAGACAATGCGCAATCAATTCCAATTAAATGGCCCTGCTTTTGTTTTGTCTCTTTCTTTCTTTTGCTCCTCCTCCTCCTCCCCTGCTCTGCATGGGCAGCTTTGTTTACCGATTCCGTTTGCATTGGGAAGCCAACTCTTTTGGTTATTTAATACTTATTGAAAACGACAACATGCAATGTAGTATATCTAGTCTATCTGATAACTGGTTATATATGATCGGATTTGATTTACGTATTAAGTAAAATTTTCCTTTCAATTTAGATCAAAATTAATGTTTGACTGTGTATAGGATATTATCTAGTCGTTCATAGCCTACTTGCCTAGAATACCAATTGTATTCTAGGATATCTCTCACGTTACGCAGCAAATCGAACTTGATTTTAATTCCTTTGTTCAATTTTGTTGTTGCTCTCTATTTTTCTTTTGTTTGTTTCTTGTTTGGCACTTTGCAAGCAGCCAGCAAACAACCGCAAAACAACGCGATGATAAAAGTGAGAAACCAGTTTTTGGCATTGGTGGTGGTCGATTAAACTGCCCCGCGCGTAGAGTTGCCATTATAGGGTATGTCGGATCCGCTTGCTCTAGGTCGCAATTTAGTATCTTTATGCAGTTATGAGAAGCAGCTAAATAAGCTTAACATTTTCTTAAATTACAGTGAAAACTCATATTGGGTGGATAGTTTACAAATGTCTGCTCTAATTGTATGTTTGTATTTTTGCAAAAAGATGGTATATCTGTTGTGTATGTCTATATGATATATACTATATATTTTTATATGTTTCTTGTGCCTTGTGTAAAGCTCGACTATAACATATAAAGCTGATCTAGATCCTTTATATTGTATGGAATAGAATTATATTCTTATATTATATAATCTCCAATAAATCTGAGGCTATATTAACTATATAAAAAAGCATATATTCTCAACAAGTCTATGAGTCCATTTGAACTGCATAAAATTTAAATAAAGAGCTCTAGCTTCTGCCTTTATAAATGAATTATATTTTTAAGTTCTTTCTCTCCATCTATATATAGATCTTTTCAGAAACACAAGTGSGCTCGTGGGTGTTCGCTTGAATGAGTTTTCATTGTTGGATGCGTTTGACATTTAAATTGTTTTTATTTCTTTTTTTTTTTTATCACTGCGGAATTTCTCATTTGTCTCTTGTTTACCTCCATGTTCGAGCCCCGCGACATTCGCATCCTGCGCTTCGATTCCTTTGTGTGCAACAGTTGTTGACGCTATCCAATTGCAAATATTTTCTTATTTCTTATTTTCTCGTCAACTAATTGTGCCACTTGTCTTGCATCTTCTCTCTGCTTCTTTGAAAATGCAATGAAAATTCTGTTGGTTAATAATAAACTGTGAAATGAAAACTCGAAAGTTTTCTCTTTTCAATCACGGCAAGCGCTGAACGTGCCACCAAGAAATATATAAAAATATGTGGGATATGGAATATATGTACATATATATATTATACATAAGTTTTTATCGCTTAAATTGCATTTGTCATGCGATTCTAAAAAAAAAAGTATAAAAAAGCAATTTCATGGTTATTTAAGTGCACAAATATAATGAGCATTATATATACCCTGTAGAGTTGCTATGCCTGTGCATAGTTAACTCATCAAAGTTTACTTTTAATTGAACTTGAACTAAATGAAATAGCAATTATGCATATTACAAGGATCGTATCAACTATACTATATGGCATCTATCAGTCCCATGGTATCTATTAACTACAGTATATCTCTTATGAAATGTACAGGGTATTCAGATGATGCACACTCCCTGTCGATTGATAAGTTCAATCTCCATTTAATCTTTATTTGCACTGCAAGAATCGCTCAGCATCCACAATAGTTGCTCTCTCGCTCTTGCCCGTACACTCAGCTGTTCGAATGTGCAGCCCATTCACTTTTGCGCTCTCTCCTTGTCTCTCGCTCGCTCTCAGCTGTTTGCCAGTTGCAGCCCGAGTCCATCTAGGCGCTCTCGCTTGCACAACAAACAGTTGTCAAGTGTGCTAGTGCATGTGCCCAGCTCTCGCTCCCGTTGCCTTCCCTTTCCCGCTCACGCTCTGCTGCTGGCATTGCGTGACCTGCAGTTGTAGTTCAACTGTTGTTGTGCTTCCTTTTGGTATAACGGCTGCTCGCTGCTGCTGCGCTGCTACTGCTCCTACTCCTCCTCTTGTTATTGTTGTTCCTGTTAGTGCTGGCACTTTTCACTGCTTTGCCATTGGCTTTTGTTGCCTACTTTGCGGCTGACCCGAAAACAAAAGCAAAAGCACAATTTTGCATGCAATAAGGCGTTTAATTGGCGCCTAACATATGCTAGAACCGAACTGAGAGTTGCATTCTACGAGTGGAGCAGGAGGCGAACTGGTTGGGCGAGGGTGTGTGGGGCTTGGTTGGCTGCCTCTGTTAAACATATGTTTTGTTGTTGTTATTGCTGCTGCTGCTGCTGCTGCTGCTGCAAAGGGCCATGGCACATGCGCATTTTGGGGCTGCTCTGTGCTGTGCCGTGCGTGTCCCGTGTGTTCCATCCCCGACACACACACGTACTCGCTGGCAGGACCTGGGCTCTCAGCATCGCCGTCAACAGTCAGTCAAGTTAGTTTATTCGTCAGCGTTAAGCCCATCGCAAGTTTTTTTCCGACATTTTCCTTTTCCCCTTGTTCGAATTGTTCGCGTTACGTGAAAAAATTTTCCACGCAGTGCGTGCAACAACAAAAGAAAAGTTGTAAGCAATTTATAT